TTGTACGTGCCTCTTTCCCAAGCCAGCCTCCTTCACTGCTAGTGGGAAAGAGGGTTTTGTCGACGGTTTTTCTCAGTTTTTTCTCCACTGTCGTTCCACTTCGCATCTCTATACTCAGTTTCAATCGCCATAATACCCCCTTATTGAGCCCGACTTTTGCCTTTAAGCACAACAGCGTAAATGAATCAGACTATAATAGTATGTGGTGCATAAATTCAGGGATGATATTTGCTCAGGTGACATTCGCTTGGATGACAGCATTCTCATGGCATTCCGAATAAATACTATAGAAATGAAGCTGTTGTGGTGTTTTCCACAACAAACAGTACTTATACACTTGAAACAAAAGTATTGTTGGCTGTCCAGCCAGGTTGCAAAGAATTGTTCAGATGGTGTTTTTGTATGGTTGAGAGCGAATCCGAAGCAATTGGTTACAGGAACTTTGGAATTAAGTTTTGATCGATAATTCAACATTAATAGTCAATAAGAGTAGCTCGAAACCAAAGGGTGTAGTGACAAGTGACGCCGCTTACTAGTCGAGGTGAGTGAGCCAGGATAACCGACTCCTCCTTAATTCGGGTTGGTCAACTGGCTTATCTAGGAGATAAAAACACTGACTCTCACATACATAGCCTGACATCGCAAATCCTATAGGTCAAACCGCGTCCAAGTGTCATCAGATTATGATTGGAAGAAGATGGTGCGGCGCATACCAACACCCCATTTATTACCGTCGATCGCTTCACTCTTTATCTCTTTAGACTCCCACAAATCTAATCTTGGCCAGCTTTTGGTATTTCGAAGGCTTCGGGAAGGATTTTCGCAACATGTCGCTCGTATCACAATGTCTCACGTAGGTAAACTCAGAGAAGACACGGTGTGGATGAGATAGAAGCGGTCAGGTGCAAATAGATATTCCTGCAGTGCAATACATGAGGAATTTTTAGACCTCTAACAGACAAGACTGAGAGACCACCACCAACAGAACCTTACTATTCTATAACAAAGTTGCCATCGGGGTGAAAGGAACAGTGCAACATGAGAGTGTCGTTGCGCTCAAGTCATTGTCGCATAATAAAACAATTTCCTTAACTGAAGATGGGCGAATTTCGTTATAGCAACTTGCTTTACATGCAAACCGCCTCGTTTGTATAGCCATAACATCAACACAGTGACCTTCCGTACAATGCAATTGACCTCCGATCCCCTCGCTATTCAGACCGACGTTTGTCTTCCATTCTGCACCCATTTTCAGTATCATTTTTAATTATCTTGAAATATCGAGCTTTCGCCCCATTGACTCATTCTCTTTTGAGTTCCCGTCGACGCCATGACCGTAACTTTCAGCAGAATCGTGCCATGCATAGTAGAGCAATGCCTTCATGATCTGAGGGAACCGTCAATAGGCTCATAATCAGCTTTTCCTCCTCTCCGGTTTGCTAGCCCATCCAAACTGAAGAGTGAGGGCACCAACGGTGACTTATTTGGCGAATGGCTTTCCTTTGTTAATTTATCGGAGGCACTATTCTTCCATAGCGAATCCCATGAAAACAACCAATTCGGAACGAAGACGCACGCTATTATCCTGTCCATTGTGCTTTATATCGTCATTTTGAGATTACGGATCGATGTCACAGAAAGTGTTCGCGAAGAGTACTCACAGGCACCAGTTTAATGGTTTCAGTGATTTGCACAGCGCAGCTAAACTAACCGCTTTAACCCCCGAAATATAAAAAGTGAGTGGTATAATAGGTCTGGACCCGTTTTTTTACATCGGTTAACATTTTGTCTTCGCTCTTTTCTGCGTGCGATCTACGTGTGCAATAACTCTCAAACGAGAGGGGGCTCGGACAGTTTGATTGATTAAATTGGCCTTTTCCGTCAATTAATCCCAATACTGATTGCTCGGGTTCTGTTCCTTTCGCTACTGCCCCGAAGCATGATTGGAGAATCTCCACCGAAGCAAAGGGAGACAACAATGCTAGATTCCAAAGCAATAGATTGGAGAAGCGAGTTGATTGGCAGGGAAAAAGTGCATCATAATTGCGAACTAGCACTCCGAGGATGCGTATTCGGCGCCGTCCCGCCCGCCCGTGCTTCAATTCTTCTGTACTAGTCACGCGTCTTTTGCAAAAATAATTTCAGAGTGCGCAAAAGCTCGGGCACGAATAGCGTTGCTGTGGCCATGAATTTCCTGTCCTGTCTTCATGGAAGTCAAATTCATGGTGCCAGTCGTAGTAATTGGTGAATAGAAGCAACTTATCCATCTAATGATTGTGATCAGGAGGGGAGTGATGTAGTAACATTTTTGTCGGAAGACTATAGCCGAGGACTCTTCTACCTTACACTTGCCGGTGTATGTCGTTCTGGTCTCTAGATGTGGCCATGCAAAGTCTGTCGCTGATGGGAGCTACATTTCAGGGTCGTCTCTTTTCGAAGAACTCTTAATCAGAAGGGCAAGTGACCCATTACTACGACCATAGGGTGTAAAAAATCATTTCTTATGGTGTACGGATTTGTGAGGGGAGCGAAATTCTGAAAATCTGGTACGCGATTACTACTGGCTTGCCATGAGCTAACCGTACTCTGCGTTTTTCCATCGAGGAATCACCACTGGTAACCGCCACGCGAATGCGATTTTGCTGGTAATGAGTTACGAGAAATAGTCGATGTACATCATCCTAGAGATGTTTCACACCAATTGATTGACTCCCGACAAAGAGGCCTCGTGGCCTGGACGGAGTACAATCCAGTATTCGGTTTCTGATCGCGCGAAGTATGAGGCACCGCATCATCCCACACAGCTGTGATTGCTAACTATGTTTCATCTACAGTATGGATTCATGATATGCAGGTAGACTGCTTCAAAAAACTGGAGCATGGCGGAAGAGATGACACGCTTTGCTAAAAATAAAAAAAAAACACAAAAAACAGGCCTCACCTTTCATATCATTTAGCATTTCATTCTTCATGGTTTTTAAAATGTACAATTTTGTGAGGCTCCATAAAAAAGTGTGGATTTTTGCTTGAGAAGGGGCTCAAAATAAGCACCGCTGGCAGGAAAAAAAACGAAAAGCCTACCCTAGCTAGTGTAGGCTGTGTAGGGTAGAGGTATTACCCAGCTACGGCCGTCAGTGTGTTTCCGTCATCTTTATTCAAAGAAGCAACTCCTTCAAAAATGGAACTCATCGAAGATGGCTCGGATAAAAATCGGTATTCAAATGGTCGGCATCACCTACGTGAAGAGCGCATTTGCCCCACTTTCATCCTATATGAGTATACAAAAGAAGCTCAATGACGTGCTCAGTACTTCTAGTTTAAGCTGTTCCTCTTTGGCTCTTTGATTATAATAATAGCAAACAACGCTCGTCAGTGAGCCCCATTAGACACTTTAGGGTTTGAAAATGAAGTTTCTTGAAGTATGAGGGAGTAGTCTTGTTGAACTCGACAAGCTGAATCTAATGATATCTTTTTTCGAAAAAGGGATCGAGTTATAACAAGAGGTGAAAGAGTGCACTTTCGCGTCTTTCGCAGCTTTTTTTCAAGAGTTAGGGGCAATACTGTAGGTCATTGTTGTGAGCTAACTGCTCTCTGATTCAACTCTGGTTATTCTGTTACGCTGAATTCCCGCTCGTCCATGCAATAAATTCAGGATATGCGATCCCTATCACTTCTCGCCGTTTTGGCCACATGCTGCCTATCCGTTTGGGCTAAAATGCAAAATGTGACCGTCAAGGGTATCACTGTGTGCGATAAGAAGCCCATGAAAAACGTCCACGTCGAGCTCTATGAACATGACATATGTGAGTTTCAAAAATGCACAATTTCCAACAACTTGGTGTAATAGCTGTCGTTAAGTATTTTCACATGAGTGCATTACATTGAACATATACAACATGTGTATCTCTATAATCAAGCTAAGTTGAGAATCAATCTACATATTTTAATGCTTTCTAGTGGACCCCAACGACCTGCTGGCAGACACGCACACAAACTCTTCAGGCGAGTTCAAAATTTACGGAGAGGAAGATGAGGTTAGTGTTTGCCAATGGATTGGCAGTTCACTCTCTCAATACTCATGCGTTATATTTGAAGTAGACGAATCTAGATAGGCAGCATCGAACCATTCATTCGTCTCACACACGACTGTAAGGTGTCAAAACCGGTAAGTTGCAACAATTCAACGTTACTGCTCAGTGCATTGATAGAGGTGCACATCCCACGATTAGGTGAAGCCTCAGGCAAGCACGCGAGCTATACCGATATCTTTGCACGAAATTGCGAGGCAGAAGGCTAACGATAAGGGGCAAGAAGGGGACAGCTTTCTCCCACCTGGCGGCATGCTGCCAATAAATTGACCCCGAAGGCCTTCCCGCCCTCGCTCGTATCCACATACTCTCTTCTTCGATGTTCTCCCTCTCCTTGGAGAATCTCTCATCTTGCTCTCTAATTCTAGAATACCCCAAAAAACTAGAAAAAGGGGTCTTTTTTCTACGTGAGTGGTTTTCTTCTCTTCACTTTTTTTGGCCCACCAATTCGGTCGAAGGGCGTCTTTAACGATGTCCTCTTCCTTCAAGAAACCTAGGTGCATAACCAGTTTAAAGATTATTTCTTTTTCTGGCGCATGGTAGACATTGCCGCTTGCCGAAGAGCCTCATAACAGTAATTTGCAGCGACTGCAGCGGATCGAAAAGCCACTTTTTTGGAGGAAGCTCAGTCGAAATGGAAATTATCTCTCCTCTTTCAGGGTTGCCAGCGCATCGCTGATTACGTTGTGCCAAAAGACAAAATAGATGGAGTCTACGATATGTCTCACGTAGCGCTCGACATCGTTGTTCAAGGAGAGAAGGAAAAGTGCTAGGGTCGCATATCGTCACTGCCGTCTTCTAATCTTGTGATTATATTTATTTTGGTACTCAGAGCGTGTCTAACTCAAAATAAAATTCTCTACTAACATAACACTTTGTAAGAACTGGAAAACGATATCCTATCCTCAATAGATTGACGTTAATAATAAAGATGATTACACTACAGATAATGGTGTTGGGTGGAAACTGCATTTCACTTACTTGGATATAACCCTCATAAGTTGAGTGCAAGTACATACAGTACCGTCAAAAAAGAAATCACCACATACGTCATTTGCCATACCTCATTTTCAACTTGATATTTTCTGGCGATTTTTAGACAGTTCATGTTATAAGCTCTCATGCGAGGCGGATCAATCTCACCAGAGGGGATGTTTTTTCTCTAAACTCACAAAGGCGGCAAATTCTCAAGTAAGCCTTCCTGTGCCTTTTCATCAAATAGTATATCCTTGATTCTGTTTTCTGTTAGTCTGTTGCAGTAGGAAGTTTTATTTTCACTTTGTGATAACACTGTATATACTGAGTGCTCGCGGTTCTACAAAAGGTATTGACTGCTGAGACGTTAGTTCCAGAAACTGCATACGCAAGTATACAGGGGTGGCCAAAAAAAAGACACTTTGCAACTCAGAGACATTTCAACCCGACTGCCCTCAACCTAGTATCAAAGAGCACATCCCAGTCTACCAACAAACATCGTAATAGCTTTTTGCACAAAGGAGATCACAAGAATTTGCCATTGCTGCACGGTTCGAGCTCAACTGGTCCTCGGCGGATCATGGACCTTTACGACGTTATCTGAAAAGCTGGTCGGAAGGGGTCTTGCATATTAGAGCTACTGTCCCTAGGAAGCAATTCGACAGTTATCCGATTGAAATTCCGTAGCAGCTTCAGGCTGGAACGATT